TCTGAATAAATGATCTCCCCAATTTCTAGGTATAATAATGGTTTAAAAGCATTATTTTCATCAAGTTTCATAAATATAGTATTTCTTCTATAATAAAGAAAAATGTTAGTACAGTATGAAAATTGTACTCACAGCTCTAGTAGGTACACTTTGCTAGTATATAACTTATAACCAGAGATTTGCTAGCTAGGGCTTGGTGTTTCTATTTTTGAATATATTTGCAAATGAGTTATTTTGGGGGCCCTATAATAAGGTAGTAGTTGTCAGGTTATCAGTTCAGGTCTTATCTGTTTTGCACTCATAGTCTGTCTTCAAAGAACTGTCATTTTGTAAAATGCTTGCATGCTGACATGTTAAAAATTGATGCACAAAATCAGAGTGACATGTGAAAATATGATGATATCATATGTGAAGGACACTTTCAGTTCAAGTGTGAATGCAAATATTATATGATTTAATGAGCAAGGAATGACCATTATGTCAGCTGTTGGCCCTCATTTTTTAAATAATGTATTTATTTCTTTAAGTTTCACTCTACATTCCAATACCAGTTCTCCCTCCCACCCCTCCTCCTCATTTTAAAGATGGCCAACCTCAGGCCTAGGGAAGTAGGGAAGTTAAAGATCACCTTGCCCAAGTGCACTTGATAATATGAGACCAAGATGAATAGTAGGAACCACATTTCCAAGAACATTGGGATGCTTTTTAACCCTACAAATCTTTGTTACTCCTTTTTGCCTTTGTAGAGGTGCTAGACCAAGTACCCATAAATATGTATGCACATGTTAAATCCATACACAAGGAACATGTAGACACACTGACTTAACTGATTTTATATTTGCAATCTTCTGACTACCTCTGCTAATGCTGTGCTGAAATGCTTAACACTGAAGTTTTTGAATGTTACACTTCTATTAATGAATTTTGCACGTTTGGGGAATATAAGATTGCTTTCAATATGTGGACAACTCACATCAACTTCTTAATGTATTGCCTATTACAGTAGAAACGTAATTTGCTAAGGGATTTGTTAGCTACTTTGAGATGTCTGTACTGATCTTGGTAGACAAAACTCTGCTTAAATATAACACTGTGCTTATTTACTTATTTATACTTAATCAATAATTAAAGAGATCTTAGGAAGTCTGTAAGAAAAACCAATCTTTAGACCTTTGCATAACTTAGGCTGTTATTTTATAGATTTTTAGAAGTAACAATCTCCACCTGAAAAACTTCCAAGTTTATGCATGCAGAGATTGTGGAATTGACATTTTGGAAAGTGATGCAAACACTCTGGTTACTGACAGCTTTCTACTTGGTCACTTCACACACAAGGTATGTACCTTGCTGGGGTGGTTGTGGCTTCTCCATCAAGACCAGATTATGTAGACAGGACTCCCTGTCTCAGAGACTTTTAGTGTGTCATGGTAAACAAAGGAGCATTTTATTTGTCATAGTGATGATACCAATAATATAATTTGTGTACTTAAGAGTTGAAGTGTTGATTCCATGTAAATCGTAAGTCACTAATAGTCTGAAGAATTCTGATTTCATTTAAAGGTATGTTTTTAATGTATGCAAGTTCAATATTAAACCTAATAATTTGATTGTCATGGCTCATACAGCAATTTGGAAGCAGATGCAGAGACCTGATACAAGTTCAAAGCAGGGTTAAGCTGCTAAATGAAATCCTATCTCTCAAAACCAGAGCCAATGAACCCTCCTGCACCCCATTGACTTAGTTTACTTTTCTAGAGCCTCTCAAAGATTGTGAACAGCACAAAGGCACACTGTCCCTCTGCTCTGGTGTTCTGAGCTTCTTCAAATTTTTGTTGAAAGGATCATTTCTCCATTGAGCCTGCCACCCCGAAGAACCTGGATGAGGCTATCCAGGCTTATATAGTTCGTTACTATGTGATAAAGTTATGTTTGCCTCTCTGGAACTTAGGAGAGTGTGCCTGTGGGTGGCTTCTGAGTCCCTGACAGGTGTGGACACTAGGGGTCAGAGGTCCTAGGTAGAATATGCTTCAAGGTATTGGCAGCTGACAGAAAGGAATGAGGATGGGATAGAAGGGGAGGGGAGAGTTTGAGAGGGTCCACATGGTGAGAGAGAAGGCTGGGTCTATTCTGAGGAACCACGGACTCCCCAGGAAATAGGGGAAGGAAGATGGGACTCTTCAGGTAGTCTGCTACAGGACTGGGGATGAGATTGGAGAATTGGTATTGGAGGACAAGAAGAAGAGAGACCATTGCCTATCTGATTCTCTGGCCAGCATTCCCAGGGAGTTTCCAGGGAAAGTGCCTCCAGTGTTGGTGACTGAGACAAAGGAATGTATGTGATAAGATTTTAGATGAGAAGGCATAGCCCTTCAAAAAATACAGTTTTCCCCTTTTTTAAATATAAATTAGAAACAAGCTTGTTTTACATGTCAATTCCAGTTCCCTCTCCCTCCCCTCCTCCCCTGCCCCTACTGACCCTCCTATTGTATCCTCTTTCTGCTTCCTAAGGAGGGTGAGGCCTCCATGGGGTATTATCATCAAAGTCTGTCATATCATTTGAAGCAGGGCCTAGCGCCCTCCCCCCACTGTGTCTAGGCTGAGAGAGTATCTCTCTATGTGGAATGGACTCCCAAAGTCCATATGTGTACTAGAGATAAATATTGATCTACTACCAGAGGCCCTATAGATTAACCAGACCTCCAAACTGACATCCTCATTCAGGATGTCTTGAACAGTCCTGTGCTGGTTTCCCAGTTATCAGTCTGGGGTCCATGAGCTCCCCCTCAGGTTTCTATATTACAGAAATCAGACAATAGATGGCTTGTCCTGCATTGCATAGTTCAAGGGACCATGCGAGGTTTTTTTTTTTTTTTTTTTTTTTTTTTTTTTTTTTTTTTTTACATTGTTGTGACCAAAATACATGACACAAGCAACTGAGGAAGGAAAGATTTATTGTGCCTCAGAGTTTCAGTCCTTCATGGTAGGTGAGGAATGGTGGCTGGAAGTTATGATAGTTGGGAGAAATCACGTCACAACAGATAAGGAGGCAGAGCTATGATAGGAACCAGGGGTTGGGTATAACATTCAGGGTTCTTCCCTCAGTGATTGGCTTCAGCCAAGCTAGTCTCCACCTTCTCAAGGTTCCATAGCCTCTGAAAAGTTTGCCACTCACTATAGAACAAGTATCAGAAATCAATCCTGTGATGGCCACTTCATAGTCAAGATAAGGCAATCCTAGTGTAGCCATAAGCTGCTTCCCAGGTCAGCAGGACCTTAAGGAAGTTCTACAGCACCTGTGTCCTCTTAGACTCCAAACCTTCAGTAATTTCCTGTGCCCTCATTTCTAAAAGAGTCACATGGATGCCAGCAATTAACATTTATATTACTTACTTTTCTTGTGGGTGTGGCCAATGCCCAAATGGGTCTGTTTTAACAAGGGTATGATTATGAGGGCGGGAGTCACAGAGAGAGGAACACAAGACATGCCATCCACAGTCAGAAATTAGGGTATGATGAACACTTCTCAGGTAGCTTTCTCATGTTTTGCAGTCTGGACTCCATCACCCATTCAGCTTTCCAGCTCAGGCAATCCAATCTAACAAATGCCCAGAGCCATGTTTCCTATGTGGTAGTAGATCCTGTCAAACTGACAACAATGAACCATCACAACACTGTCAATAATTTGTAGATAGAAGATGGTTTGCAGAATTCTTGGTATCCATGGGGAGAGTATTCTCTTCAGTTTGTTCCCAAATGTATTTAGTAGAAATTCATATGATAATTGATTCTTATACTTACAGGGGAGATTATTTCATAGATACATAATAAATTAAATAAACTAATATTCAAATTATTTTCTTATTGAGTTACATTTTCCTATACTTAGCTCTCAACTTTGGAGTTAACTCTTTTGAAGTATCCTTTCCCTACAGTTTTTCCTTTTCCCTGAGACGGTTGCTGATTTAGAGATGACTCATCTCTCTAGTCTGCCTTGTCTCCAGAGGGGATGCTGTAAGGTCAACAGACCCTAAGTCTAGTAATGACTTTAGACGATATACTAAAGCAAGATGCCCATCAAACAGATTAACTGTCCTGATGAATTAATGTTTTAGTCTCTTAATTGATGTTAACTAGACATCATAATTAGTGGAAGAGTGACATAAGTTAAGATGTAAATTATGACCAAAGGATACTTATCATGAGATAATAAAATATAATCACACCCCTGAGGTTAGTCACTCTCGATGCAGTCTAGTTGATGGCCTTTGAGACTCTTAAAATATGCAGGACAACAGTTTACTGCTAAAAGCTCCTAAGCAAGTTTGCTCTAGAGAATTCTAGATAATGGTCAGTCACCCAAATAATAAAACCATTCAATTTTATATTCAACTGCTACTCTAAGTGATGATATTGTTCAGACTGAATAAACAGGTAAGATAAAATGGAGCGATCCATTGACTTTACAAATACAAGCTCCAGATTTGCATCAAGTGCTAGATAGGACTGCCTTTGCTGTTCTCCTGGCTTGTGATCAAATACTATTGATTATATAAAGGAAGTGCTTCGGTGGGAAACATTTATTAATAGGTATGCCATTTCCTCCAAAGTGTTTTCTATGGGAATATTGTCCTAGGGGAGTGTCTTATAGAGGAGATTCTTTGGTTAATTTCAATTACCCTATGCTGTTACCGTAAACCCTTTTGGGTCCACAATTGAAAATAAACCTGGAGATGTACAATGCACTATGAGGGTGACAGATAATGAAACTGGACCATATCAGCAAATTCTGTTAAGTAAATAAATATTAGCTACTCTATAAAAAAATGAAAAAAATGTGTGGGATGACAGATGTTTTAAAATTATCCTCATCACAATAACTATTTCACTGTCTACCTGGACACTGTGATCCTGAAATTCTTAAATATATGCAATCAAATAAACTTGCAAAAAATGTTGAAGGGTCTGAGAACATCTGTGATTAACACAACAAGAAAAATGACAATTTTTAATTAATGAATTTTTAAACTTTATTTTAAGAGTGAGATTTTTGGCAGGTATCTTTTTAAATTTTTTTTATTAAATGTAAGGAGGATGTTAAACTGGCTGTAGAATAAGATTTTTGCCCCTGTCTCTCGATCTTACCTGGCTTTGTAGAATTAAGGTTTTCAGAGAATTTGGCCTTCTCAATCACATTTGATTCATAGCATATAAGTGTAAGACAATCATATTCTCCAGCAGATACTGTTTATGCTTTTTGTGAGTAGAGGCAAATTAAGCATGTTTGTGTTAGCATTCATACCTACTGTATCACCTATGTGTTCATGGACATAGAATACTTTTAATTTTCAGGAAGAAAAGGTTTGGGTACTAGCATGCCACATCTTAGCTTTGTTAGGCAGTTTTTGATGCTAGCTGCTTAACATTCAGTTTAATCATCACCCTGTTTCATGTATAGAGGCATCCTAGTTTGGATTTAAATTTTGTTCTTCATATGCTTCTAAGTAGCTGCAGGCTGGCTGTCTTTTTGTTGCTGTTAGAAATAATATTTTGGTATTTGCTTAAAGATGCCAGACATTTTTACAGATGTGGTCATGGTATCATAGTTATATCAGACACATGCTTACACAATACACATTTATGTGTGTAGGTGTGGTATAATGGATGTGTGAAAATATATTCCATGTGATTTAACAGAAAAAAGGAGGTGAAAAGAATAAGATGGCACAGGCAAAATAGTTGAATCTGGATCACTGCTCATCAGAAAATTACATGTTCAACTTCTCCGTTCATTTGAGAATGCTTATAATAAAAATGGGAAGTAAAATATTCAGCAGGTGCTTCATTCTTTCTCCATTTTCTCCAGGGGTTATTTCTCATTTTCATTGGGGATTTGTCTCCCCCAGTTTAGACCTTTCATCTTTTTCGTTTCTCTAAATTCTGTTGCAGGGCCCCTCTTTTCTCAATATGCTTGCTCCCGCTGGGAGAAATCTCATTTTCTCTCATGGTTTCAATTACTATCCCTGCTGATGTCTCCCACGTATTTGCATTTTCTACTGTCTTATTTTGTGCTTTCAGTTTTAATCATTGTTTCTGTTTTCCTTTCCCCCAGTCTTCTAACTTGATTTGTATTGTCCTGTGTTGTGTCTTTTCAAAGATATTTTTCTCATTTCTCACATGCTCATTGTGTTTTGACATTCTAGCTGTTGGGATTAAAATTTTAACATGCCTGCTGGTTGTGATGATGCTGTAATTACATTAACGATGTTAAACTATACCTCAGCAATTCTAGACTTCCATTTTTTAAAACTTTGTTCTTTTTCTTCATAATGCTCAAGATCTTCTTTCATGCATGTAATATGTTTTGATCAAGTCCACTTTTTTTATCCTTTCCACTCTAATTCCAACTTCTCCTTTATCCACCCTACCTACCATTCCCTCTTAACTTCAGCTGTGATCTTTTTTTTTTTTTTAATCCATTGAGTCCGCTTACTGATACCTACACGTGCAAGGATATATTGGAACATGGGTAGCTTCTCAGTTGCTACTGAAGAAAACTGTCTACCCCCTGCCCAGCAGCCATCAATGGCCAAAAGCTTCAGAAGCTTCTCAACTAGGGATGAGGCTTTGTTTGCCTTATTTCTTTGCTTACCTTTCATCCTCTGCTTCTTTTACTTTCAATTGGTTCTGCCTTTGAAAGTAAATGTTATATGGGAATATTTACAGAGAAAAGCACACAATGTGTTTTGTAAGTACATTTTTATTTAAAGTAGAATTATATCACCTTCCCACTTCCCCCTTTTACCTCCAGCCCCTTCCACACACCCTCCAACTCTCACATTCCTTTTCCCTGGACAAAGTACTATAGGCAACTAATAACTGCTGGAGGAGGGAGAATTAGCCTCTCCCAGGATGAACCCTGTAAATACATATCTAATATGTAGAGGTCAGCCCTGAAAAAAAAAACCCACACACACACACACACACACACACAAAGAGCAAAAAAAGAGAGGCACAGCAGGTTGCACTCATATTAGTGCACACACACACACACACAACACACACACACACACACACACACACACACACACACACACACACGTGCATATGTATGTATGCAACAATAATTGTCAATCACAATGTGTTTTTCTCAACTGGGTACCACCCAGATAAGAAACACTACCTATTTCCCTTGCAATGCCCCCTTTTTAGTCCCAGATTTAAACCCGAGTATCTGCAGCTAAAGGGGAACCATAATTCAGACTGCTAGTGATATGAATTGATTTTTTTCTTCTCATTATTTGATATAACACAGTCACAGAGCACATAACCCTATTGTTCCTGGGTTTCTTTGGCACACTAATATGTCCATGAGCTTTGTCTGTGTCTTCTTGTGCTGTAGTAATTTATTCCAGTCATTGTGTATTACTCCATTTTATGACTGTACCCAATATTTTCTCATGATCAAATTCTGTTTATTGAGTTCACAACAGGAATTGTTCGTATTTGACAGTTTCTAACAATTTTCTACCTTATTTTTCTCATTTGGAAAAAAAAATCTGTATAGAATCTTGGAGCTTTAAAACTTATACTTAGAGCTCATGTAATTCAACTCACACCTTGTGTGGAGGAAAAACTGAGGTTTAAAGCGCATTTCCCCATGGCCATTTCGGTAGAGAAGTGTAGTGCTCTGCAGGAGTGTCTCCTCTTCTTGGGAGCTCTAGGAACTTCCAGCATGCATCCTTCCCCTGCTCTGCAGCAGTCTCGAATCTGGTACCAGATCATTCACTTTGACTGTCCATTCAGATATTTCCCCCACCAGACATTTTCCTTGATAAATTAATGGTTTAAGGTGAGGTACAAAGTAGGGTTTCATCAAACATTGTTGCAAATGTATCAATGCACTTGGTATTTACTCATCTGTCTGCCTCACTGCCCTCCCCATTATCCGTTGTCTTTTGCCACCACACCCCATTTTTCATACTGCTTTAATCTTCCTTATGTTCCCATTGTCTTGTCTTTTCACACTCTCATTTCTTTAGTATTCCTTCATCCCAGACCCTGAATGCAATGCCACCACTTGCTCAATCCCCAGCTTGCTATTCCTGTCCATGCCCAGAACAGGCTGATACTTCCTGTGGTGTAGGCAGTGTGATACAACCGGGAACCAGTGGACAGCCACTCCTGTCTGGGGAACCTTTGTTTGCCCCTCACCCCTTTCAGTTGTTCTACTGCTTCTTTGTGTATTTGTGATGTTTTCAACTCTTACTTGAGTAAGAATAGAATCTTCTTAATGATGTTTTCATTTTTCTCTGATTTGTATACTAACTTCACCTCACTGAGATTTTATTTATTTCTCTTGTTTCTTTATATTCATTGTCATTTTTCCTATTGTGGATTTTTGGAAAAAAAACTTTAATAGTTCTCTATTGTGCAACTATTTTTAACAATGGGACAATGCAGAGCCAACAGACTAGTTTAATGGGCTTTGCTGAAGAGAATTTATAGGAAAATGTAGAAAGAGTTATGTTTCATTTTAGATATTTAAAAAGATTTTTTCTGTATTATCTGTAGAGAAGTTAACGTTTTCTGTGTGTCTTTCTGCATTTCAACACATGTATAAGTTTGTGGTGACCATAATCAATCCACAGAAGACTTGTCTCAACCTCAGCTCCCTGGGGCTCCGTCTCTCTAACCACATCCTCTGCTGACTACCAATGCTGAGCCATCACTAATCTACTCTCTGTTGGGATGGTTTCTTGCTCAATAATTACTTAAGTGGGATCATATGGTATGCAACATTTTGGTATTGGCATCTTTCATGCCCAAATGTGTTCAGGTATTCATTTAACTTGTTATGTTTATTAATGTTGTATTCCTTATTAATGAATTACATACCACTGCACCAATGTAACATAGTTCTTTTGTTCATTCATTTGTTGAAAAGCATTTGAATTGTTTTCCAGGTCTGGCGATAATAAACAATTTGGTATAACCATTTGTGTAATATTTTTGTATGACCGACCCTTCTCATTTTTATAAGATAATTAACTAACAATTGAATAACTGATTCATATGAGGCATGATGACAAGCTACCAAAGTGGTTTCCATTGTAGCTGTCCCATTGTGTATTCCATGATCAATATGTGGGCTTTAGTAGCTTCCATCTTCACATGTATTTGATACTGACATTTTTTTAAAACTCAAAAATTCTAATAGACATATTGTATATTATTTGCACTCCCCTTCTTTATATGATGTTAAACATTTTGAAATTTCACTTTAGAGATATGTTTCATATTTTCTTTGATATGAATTTCTGCATTTTTATTTTTGAGATTTACAGTTTCTTTCTGTTTCATAGATATAAGTTCTTTTTCATAAATATTAGTAGTATGTGTTTTGTTGTTTCAATAATTTTAGTATGTAGCTTGCATTTTTCTTGTTTTAATTAATTTACTTGTGCAGTAGGACTGCATTTCAAATGACTGGTAGTCTTACTTTGTTTTTTGTTTGTCTTTCTGTTTTTAAAAAAATACACAGGGAAGTCTATGTATGTCAGCTGGGATTAAAACTCCCAAGAGATGGGAACTGATGATTTCTAATACCACTTTTGTCAATTTTGATCTGAACTGTGTGGCCATTAGAACCTGTTCTGGCTGTTCCCAAGGACAGGGTAAGTTTGAGCAGACAGGTCAGATGGTAAATAAGACCAGTGCTCAGGTGAGTATGACAAATAATGGCAATATTTTTGATGAGTCAATATTTTTTCACTTGTATGATTATATCAATAGAAACTGTTCAAGTTCCACAAAGGAATTCAGGAGGTTAGGTGCTTCCCACATGTCATCTGTAGTTCCCACCATATGTCTCAGTGACCATGGCATTCTGTCATTATGTTTCCATGGCTCATCTGGACTCTCAGCCTCATGAAGTAAAGACGTCTCTCTTGGCTAGTGCCTGCTTTTAAATTGGTGGGTGGAAGAGAGGCTGCTGCCTAGTGTGAATTTCATTGGTAAGATGAATAAATGAAATCAGATGGATGATGAACACAAAGGCATAAACTGACCTGCACACACCGCTGCTGATAGATCCCCAGCCAGAGTACTTAATGTTTTCAACAACTTGAGCTGTTATGTGTACAAAGAAAACCAGGGTAGTTCTTGAGGACTTGTTAACTGCCACACAGAGCTGTGAGACGTAACTCCTTGGAGGACTCAGGCCAAGGTGAAAAGAGGCAGAGAACAATTTGGTTGATCTGATCATTGTAAACAGCCAAACCAAGCAATTCAAGTAAATATGCTCTTGTGGTTTGAATCACCAATTTAGATAATTGTTTGTTTTTTTAATTAAATCAATAATCAGCAAGTCTCCACTTTACTATTTTACCCTCATGTAGACAGAGCCAAAGATTGGGGGACTTTAGTTTAAGATTGTGAGACAGTCATTGGAACATTAAAATGCCCTATGGCAAACACTTCAGTTCATAGTTCTCCAATTGCCTGATGATTCCATATCATTCGTCAGACACTGAGAAAAGAATCTTTTGTCACTGATGATGTTGGGTGAATAAGCTTTTCATTTGTTTAAAAATTGTCTATTATAGGACAATTGTCTACATAAGGATGTAGAGGGTAAAATCAGGAAAAACACTCACTTCTTCAAAAATGAATATCTGAGAACATGATTTCCGAAGAGTGATGAGAGCAGTCTTGTGGAAGTGAACACACTCAATGAAGGAACAGGGAGGGGTGTACCTTGGAGAGGTGACTCTCCTATGCATCAAAGGGTAAAGAGAAAACTACAGCAGGAAAGGATGGTTTCTAGGTATTACAAATAACACAGGTAAAATCTTAGAGATTTTATACGTCAGGTTTTCTTTGGGAAATGAAACATATGTCCAACATAGAACAATTGTGGAGGGGAGGGTTCAGTAAGTTTTATGCATTGCAGAGCGTGGAATTAACAAGTCTTTCACAGTGACTTGCTTCACTGCCTGTAATCCACTGATAAGCAGAGTGAAAATGCTACATCTGTGAGCATCTAGTTCTCATTTGTTTTTTATTTTCTGTAGTTTATAATGTGCATGACACAACAGTGTGCAATGTATGTGTTGAGTGTTGTGTTCTGTTCTTCAGTGATAAGGATGTATGATATAAACATGTTCCTAGGTAGGTGGGCTGGCAATGGTGCTGACATTAGAGAATGTGCTGAGAGGTGTGGTCTGAGATAATATTTACAAAGTGTGTTCCTAATACTACTAATGATGACTAGAATGTTAGTTTTGAAAGTAAGCATAGTAAATATTAAAGTATAAACCTTACCATTTGAAGTATTATTGATGAGGTTAGGCTTATGATAGAAGAATGGAAGCCAAAAGACTGAAAGACTAGAGTGTAACACCGTTAGTTTTTAGGGAACTGATGTTTATTGTTTCTGTTTCTTAATAGATGAGTTCTCTCCCGATGGTATGATTGGTATTTGGGGCTATTGTTTGGTTATCTAGAAAATTTTATTCATTGTAGGAAATTTAACAGCATCTCTTTGCCATTCTCCCCAGTTGCCATTAGCATCACCAATGTGACAGTCCATAATAACTCAAAGGAATGTCAAATGTCTCTTGAAGAGTAAAATAACCCCTGGAACAAAAGCATTGCATAACAGAGTAAACTAAATGGTGGCTGGCTATGCTGTTATTTGAACATGTACCCTGACATAAGGGAATGTTTGTGTTCTTCTTTTCTTTTATGGATGACTGAATGAATTACGAAATTATAGAATATTCTAGATAAAGTACTGAAAGGAATCTTGTGAATTTAGTTTTGCAATAAACTCAGCATCCTGTGTAACATTCTGTCTTCTAACTTGTAGGTGGATTTACTGTGAAGACCAGGGAGTTAAAGTTTGAAAACTCTCCAAATTTAGTAGCATTTCCGTTTCCTCATGCAGCAGTTCTGGAAGACTTGGATGGGTCCCTGTCTGGGAAAAATGGAAGTCACATTCTTCCTTCTATGGAAACTCTCTCAGATACATGCTCGGCTAATGCAAGCTTCAGTCACATTGCCCCAGGCACCATCTGTCCCGATGGTGTTCTCTTTCATCGTATGTCTATTGGTTTGTAAGTAGCATCGACTGCACTTCTTAGCTTGTCAGTGGGCATGCACATACCACTTAGTCAGGTGTAAGCCTATAGAAGGGAAATTGTTTTCTGATGAGCTGAAGTATTTATTTCTTTAAAAGTGAAGTGGGACTTATGGTGACCACTGTGAAATTCCAAAGTGATGCTGGTTTTAGACGGGCTCAAATGGCAGGTGTTAAGATCTTTGGAGGAGATGTCATAGCCATGACTGCTTATTGACATTTTGAGTCAACAGCTTCTTTAAAAGACTCGTGGCCAACAACATATTTGAAATTTATTTAAATGAAAAGTATTATTTAAAAGATTCCATTAATGCTGTCCTCATTTATAAACATGCACTTTCCCCAAGCTCTTTTTAAGTGCTCAGTGTGCTTCGGGGGAGCAATTGCTGATGCCTTCTCTTACGTGCCAGGTTGCTTCACTCTAGTTCATTTTCCTTGTTAATTTCATGAACTATTGGATTCGTACAATACCTTTCCTATTAATATTGGAGCAAGGACTCCTTGGTTATGCTACTCAAACTACCATTAAGTCAGCAGCCGGGCTGTTTATAATGCATAATAGGATTGCTTCTGCCCTCTTTAATTTCCAGGTAATGATTGTGGAGTGTCTGGGGCTCTCCCTTTTACCTATTTCAAATGCATTGTATATATTTAGCCACACTTATTTCCTCCCTTTAAGTGTCCCAACTCCATGAATATTAAGCCAAGTAATTCCGTCAGACCACACTGGCAACTTATTTGAACCAGTGTACTCTAGAGGGGGAGAATGGCGAAGCCAGGGCTGCACTAGCTGCATACTGAGTACATAGAGAAGTGTATCTTCTCTTTCTCTTTGGAAGGTTTAAAAATAGAGTTATCTTTGAATAGTCCAAATATTTTCTCTTTCTGCTTTCCAAAGTACCCATTATTTTTTCTACTGTGAAAGGGCCCCAGACCCAGTGAGTGACATAAGAATGACAGAGGGAAATATTTTCATTTCTAATTTTGCCTGTGCTGAGGATAACTTTTTTCTTCATTCCCAGGGATGTAGCCTGATTTTCATTAGCATCATCATGCTTTCATTAAAACCTGGCTTTAAGGACTGTTTAGGAAATCTAGGAAAGTTAGTCTTTCTTTCTTATATGAGTTTTTTTCCTACATGCTGATAAAAGATTTGGTCGTGATGAGGAACAGCCTGTGCTTATATGATGTTTTCCTGTAGGTATTTATCAAACTCCTAAAAGGACTTTCTTTAAGGTTTGCTTAGGTGGTCTCTTTTGCGTGTGTGTGTGTGTGTGGGGGGGTGCTGGGCATTGTGGTGGTGAAGGCTCTGCTGAACTTCAGTCTTGTCCCAATATCTGTCCTTGGAGCTCTCCAGGGGTAGGGCTGTGCAGCCTTTTGCTCCACAAACAGGTCATGATCATCCTAGTCTGGGTCTCATGACAGCCTTAACGTTATTTGTTTTAAGTAGACCCAAAGATTCCTGGTAGGGTGAAATAGTTTTTCTTTAATACATCTCCTCCCCAGTTTTAAAATAGAAAACCCTATGTCCTGGAAACCTTTTTAGTACCATAAAATCCAAGAAGATTCCTTGCTCTTCTACCCAGATTTCTATTTTAAAATTTCAAGTGAATGCATAGGTCTAGGCATAAATGCTCAGCTGTCACAAATGAGCCCTAGGGAAGCCTCAGCATACTCCTGGTGGTGGTTTGGCCCTTGTGCCCTCACTTGATGAACACAGTTGAATTACATGAGCTGTGAAGCCTGGCCGTTCAAAGCAGTCTGTGGGCTAGCACACAGCAGCAATGGCACTCTCTTGAAATGCAGACCTTCAGTGGGACCTCAGACCTCAGACATCCTGAATGAGAAAGCCCAGGTGATACAAGGAACCTTTGGGCAGCCCTGCTCCCTGGTCCTTCTAATTATACACTCCGTGCTCCTACACCTCCCTTTTTGTGCTCAGTGGCTTGATCTTTGTCCCAGAGCATTATAACCTCATTAGGAACATGTCAGTGCTAATGAGCAATTTGAATTCAGCTTAGATACAAAGTTTGTTGTGTTTCATGGAGAAAGGATTAATTTGTTGTGCTATTTACCCTGGGGCAAGCGCTGCTGTCTTTACTTTCAACTGGTACCCCCTTCTCTCAGCAAGCAGTCCCCAGAGGGCAGGGAATGAGGCTCTATATAGCTGCACAAACAAACTCTGCTCTCCTCCCATTTGCTAAAATCCAATACTCGAGCTGACTTCTTGTCTGTTAGGCACCTTCTCTGGCTCCTTTTCACTATATGTAAGTTCTTTGTTTGATGTGAATGGTCTTAGGATCCTGTCACTCGCTGTCTTATTTGTACCCAACTGGAGCCCGAGTCTCTGGTAGATGTCTCCTAGACTCTGTGACTCAACACCAGCAGTTTGGTTGACAGAAGCAAGTCAATATTTGAAGCTGATCATAATACTCAATGGGCAAGTGAAGAACAAATGGCTGCCCTGTACAGGGCAGAGAAATTCATCATTTGTTACATGACATCACGCTTCCTCTTCGTGGTGCTTCCTATGTTGTTGCTATCGTGGGAAGTGTTTATTCCCAAGCTCCTGCTTCCAGCAGCATTCTTCCAGGAGCCCCAGGATGATGATGTTAATTCAGGACCTTATCTTAGAATATAATACTATGTCAGTAAACATTTCCCCCCATGGTCTCCTGGTGATGAAAGGGTCCACAGAGTTGTGGGAGTTTTCTTTTAAAATTTTTAATTATGTTTTTATTTATTTATTTATTGTGTGTGGAGGAGGACATGTGTGCATGCCATGATACACGTATGAAGGTCAGAAGAGAATGCCCTACCGTGTAAGTTCCTGGAATTGGACTTAGATTTTCAGGCTTGGTGGCAGGCATGTTTAACCACTGAGCCGTCTTGGCTCCTATACCCTGCTTGTATTCCTGTCTCCAGCAAGGCCACTCCTCCTAATCCTTCCCAAACGATTCCACCAATTGAGAATCAGGCACTAACATATATGGTCCTATGGGGATCGTACCAAATCCCCACCCACCCCTTTGGTTTTCATGTCACAAGTATTTCATTACCTTCCTTTTTTTCTCTCACCCTGTTATGGATTTTTATATTTGATTTCATGGTTCCCTTTCTAGTTTCATAAAAGACAGATGCAGGCACACACACACACACACACACACACACACACACACACACTTGGGAAGCCAAAGCAACCCTAAGCAGAGTGAGTAAAAATGGAGGAATGGATGTGTGGTCTCAAATTACACTAATAATACAAACTACATATTATTAGCAAAAACACATGTAGAATAATGGAATAGAAGAGATTACCCAGATGTAATCCCACACAGTTACAAACACCCATTTTTTAAAAACATATATTGATGTAAACATTGCCTCCTTTCCTCTCTTCTGTTCTCCTCTTCCCTCCCTTCCCCTCCTGTCCCCTCCCCTCCCCTCTCTTTATGCCACTCACCTTCTCTCCTCTCCCCCTTCTCATTTTCTCTTGTTGAGTATCATTCTTTAGCTTCCTCTAGCCTAGAACTCATTAGGTAGTCCAGGTTGGTCTCAAAGTTCCAGCAATCCTCCTGCCTTCTGCAGACCTGGGATTTCAACTCTCACTGCTTGCACAGGTTAGTTTCTAAGCGCAATCTGTGTTGAGTCCTTCCCCTTGCCTAGTGCTCCCTCCAGTCCAGCTTTAGTTATCTCTTACCTGTGTGTTCACAGATGCTTCTTCGCTTGCAGCTTGGTGATGCCCTAACCTGCATAGACCTGGTCCTGCCCTTCTTTCCCTTGCTTAAAATATGCTTCCAAGTGCTTCCTGGGGCAAAGCCAATGCAGCCCTTTTCTATCTGCTACCTGCATAAGGCCTTGGCATCACCCTGTTTCCCCAGCTCTCTATCCCATATTTACCTCTTTGACTGTTTTCTGTTCATAAGATTCAGCTTCCATGAGCCCAGCATGGAGGTGATTTTCTCTGATGAGTTTCCCTGAGCATCTTGTGCATTCTGTTATCCCTGCTGTGTGTTCGCTCTTTAGACTTCCTCTGATCAATACTCATAACTCCTGTGCAGTTTTATAAGCTGCCTTCCTTTGCAGATGTTAAGGAGGGTAACCGGGTAGTTTTATTTGTTGTACATCTTATGATGCTGATACACCATTGAGCACACATTGACTTAAATTAGTTTTATATAAATTAAAAAAAAAACTTGTCACCTTCAAATGTTCTTCTCATGCTGTTATTTTCCAAGCTTTGTGTCCATGTTTATGAGTCTCAATGGCATTTACTTTTTCTTCAGAATATCCAGCGATTAAAATGCTATCTTTTGTCCTTATCTCAAAATATTTAAAAATCATATATCACTTAATGCCCCTTCATATTGTTTTATAGTGTTTTGCTATCCTGGGGCTAGCAGTTAATTGGAGTATATATTTTAACATTTAATTCTTTCTTCATTGCACCCCACCCCACCCCCAATCTGTTGCCAGCATTTGCAAATGCTTTCTTTCTCTGGTGCTATACAGACTTTACTGTGATAGGGGAGAATGTGATGAGTGAGGGGATCAGAATTTAACCTTCACAGTTATCAACTGGAAAACACATTTGTTTTTAGTTGTTGGTCTCAAGTCAATTACAGTCTTTTTGACTGTCTTCAGCTTGTTTAGACATGAACAAATCAGACATTGATTTTGCCTTCTAATTAGTGAATGGGTGTGGGTGGAGTAAGAGTTTGAAACATGTAGACTGGCCAACCAATTTGCTTGAGTTTTGTAGATTGCACATAAAGCTTGGTGAGGAAAGATGCTGGAATTCAACTGTAGTCTTCAGAAACTGGAGGATGCAGAAACAGCTGCGAATCTTGGGTAGAGGTTGCAGCTTCTCAGCTTCCTCAGGTTCCTTTCCACATGTCACATGACCTCTTCTCACTTCATTTCTCCTAGCAGCAAAATGAACATCATGGTATTTATTTCACAAGTTCATTGCCAGAT